CAGACACATTTAAAGGTGTTTTATTGAGGTTTAATGTCAAAACTAGAGTGTTGGCAAGCTAGATATACTCGTACAAATAAATAATATGAAATTATTATTTTTTTCACTAATTTGAACATTTCCTTAAAGATATAAAGTTTTCTAGTTTAAATTTCCAAATTATGAATAGTTAAATCCTATTTTTTTGGCTTTTTAAACCCGTTATTATCAGATTATCATTTTAATAGCTTTCAAAGCGGTTATTTACTTAAGTTCAAGCGTACAACAAGCTAACAACAAGCTTATAAAAAATACCACAAAATAATACTCTGCGTGGCTATGATAATCCTGTTATGATAATTGAAATTGAATCAAATTCAAATGAATTTGTGTTTGACTTTTGACCAGGACGAAGAGCGCAGAGTGAGGGGGATCTGATTACCGGCTATCTGAAAGTCAAAACTTCCAGTTGGCAGTTGCAAGTGGATGACAGCAAACCCGCTGATTGCATGTCGCCTTGGGAAAACTGAAAATCGTGTTTCCGTTTTTTTTTTTTTGGCCCGACCAAAAGCGACTTTAATGGCAGCTCAAGTGGCGAGTGAGTGGAACTTTTCTGTTGGTTGTTGGTTTTAGTTTTTTCCTTTCGTTTTTTTTTATTTTCTGTTTTTTTGGTGGGTAAAAAATATGAAAGCTCTGTGAGGAGAAAGAAAAGCAGGTCTGAAAAGGATGGTGACCGCTTTTCTGCATTGATGATGCTGCAGGTTTTTCCTTGTATTTGCAATCGATGATGTGTGCTCCCGAATTTTATGGGACAGCCTTCGCAGACGCTTTCATATATAGTAAAATTTTGTATCCGCTTGAACAAAGCCAGAGACGGAGGCAGAGAAGCAGAAGCAGAAACAGAAGAAGCCAGAGCCGGAGCCGGAGAGCCACAGTTACGGACATGTTGGGCCGGAGACCCAGACCCACCTTTTGACAAGGGCATAATTAAAGCATAACAGCAACAAAAACCAGAGTGGGCGGGGGCATAGAATCCAACGTCCCGCTCCGCCCACCTTTCGGCCGCGGCGCAAAACCCACGAACTACGGGGTGAAAACAGGTTGTTACTTCCTTGCAAACAAGGTTCCGTTACCGTTATGTATACGGCCACATCTACTACATCTGCATATATATGCATGTCGGTGAGTGTACGTATTACGTACGTTTGTATGCTGTTCGGGCACAGTTTCGGAAAAAATAATAGCGCTGCAAATGAACATTTTATTATCTCACCACCGGGGCGCACACTTAAGGGGTTTTAGGGCTGGGTAATATAAACATAAATAATTAATTATGTTTTCTTATGAACGATAATATTCCATGGCTTACACACTGCATAGACGCAATGTAACTCAATTTCAAAGGAAAATTATGTTAATTTATAACTTTTGGTTAAACTAAAAAGATATGTATTATTAAATATAAAAAATAATATTTTAAAGAAGAGACAATCCTTTAAAAAACAAAAATTATTACCTCAACCGAAACTAGACTTAAACTTTTATAAATTTATAATTTAGTATAAAACCATAAAGTTTTCTCTTGGGAAAAGTTCTGAGAAAACTTTCACTTATAGAATCGGTTATTTCTTGTTTTAATAGTCATTTCAACATGTTCAACATATTTGATACAGACTTTCAAACTGGAAGCTTTCCGCCAAGGAACTTCGACAGTATTTAAGAGCAAATTCTTGATTGCTATTTGGTTGACCGCACCTGTGGCCGCAGATGTACATGTATGTATGTCTTTCTGTGAGCTTGGCGTATAAAAGAAAGCACGTTATTGCCAATTTAACTTACATTGTGCATGTGTCTTTAAACAAAGATTTATGTACCCACTTGCATGCACGGTGCCCCGTTGCCCAGGATTCCGAGCTCCTGGCCCGCGATTCTTATGTAGCATACTTTTGTGGGCGAGTTTCTGGAGGAGCCAAGGGGCATTAGGTTGAGTTGGTTTGGTAGTGGTGAGGTCAGGTGTGCGGGCAATAATTCGCTATGGATGGGTACGTGTGGGTTGCCCACTTAAATCAGCATAATGATATGCACTTATTGTTGTGGCAAATTTGTTGCGGAAGTGCTGCGAAAACCGCACAGGATGGGGCCAAAAACCGGAGGTTCCTTGTTCCTAGCTTCTAATCCAAGACTGTCGTGCTACAAAGATCCCTGGGATCTTTAGGGGTGAGCTCACCTTGTCCTCAACCGCATGTCGATGTCGATTTCTTCATTTGCCTAATACGAGTCGACGCCATCATTAATCTAAAATATGGCTCACATACACGCACCCACTCCCACGCACACACACACACGCACATGGCGTGCATGTAATTATGCTGGAAACTGTGGCATGAAACAGGGGGTTTTCTGAGAGGGGGCTTCCCTCGGAATGCGGTAGAGGGTTGGATGGGGTTTTCCCACCACAGAGACACACATTTGCGTAAGCCTTGTTAATCGTGACAAAAGCTTATTGCGGGTTATTTGGACTACTTGTTTCGCATCCGGCGTTGGCACAACGAAAATCAACATTGCCACATGTAAATACATACATATAGATATAAACATATAAACATATATATGCTCTGTACATATGTCTGCGCACAGAGAAACAAAAACCCAGCATTTCGTACGCAAAGCGGTTACACGCAGTCAGGATTTGATTTCATGTTCGCATGATTAAGGATTTCATGTCAACCCGGCCGAATGTTTCAAATGAAGAGCTTATGAATTTGTAAAGTGGTTTGAAGCATAATGCTCATTACGGAAATTCGGTTTTATGTCAGGGTCCTTGCAGACGCAAACAAAAAGTTGATAACAGGATAATATTCGGTAATAGATTACTTCCATTCCGTATTTATACTGATCGATCTTTAATATTATCTGAATACTAAATATGAAGATATAAAGTAATATACAACAATATAAACAGATCTTTCATAAAAATATATAAAACTCTTAATTCAAATTATAATCAAAAAGAAATTTTAAAAAATTAATATCACATTGTGTTCCCCCAATCTCACATAGGCCTAGTTCGATTTTTAGATACATACATCCTTGGAAGTTAGCCTCCAATCTGCAATTGCTGGCCTTTTTTCTGGCAGTGCAGAGTTATGTGTGCGTATTGGCCTGTCGGTTGGGCCTGTCATCTAAGAGAGGAAGATGCCAAGGAACGGGAATGGAGCCCGCGTCACTTGCACACATAATAAACATTTTAAACATTATTCTCGTGTTAAGCAGCTTCTTGGATTGGTACCGCCGTTGTTGCCATGGCGTTGCTGCTTCTGTTTCTGCTACTGCTGCTGCTGATGCTTCTACTACTGCTGGTGTTCGTTTTCGGTGAAATTTACGGGTTTCAACGAATAATGGTGCATGTGGGAAATGAACGTTTTGTGTTCGCTTTTGCCTGTCATCACAGCCACGCAGCAGAATCCGCTCGCACAAACACTGGCACATTCCGAAACATTCGCCACTTTATCAGCATTTTACTTTAGCCGTTATTACCAGAGATCCACTCACAGTACATTAGCACACCCACACAAATCCACATCGGCAACAACTCCCACATACACACCCCACCAAATTCTAACAAGTAAACACACACCACTACATATTGAAGTTCTTACGCATGTATGTAAGTCTCAACGAGGTTGCGACTCTCCAAGGAAATTAAAAAACAACTAAAACAAATTAACAATATAATGACAAAAGTCTTATGTGAACTGTGGTCGAGGAGTCACGCGAGAAGACGGTGGGATGCGAATGAAGTAGGCCTAAGAGGAAGTGAACGATGGAAAATGAAAAAACACGGCGAAAAATATTATTTTCCTTTTTGATTTTCCTGTTTTCAATAAATGTGTTTGCTGGCAATATAATGAATAATTACTTCAAAGCAACATTATTTTTCCAACATTCATGCAACAATAATATTAATCGAGTACCGTTTTAAGCCCACACCAATTCCAAAATCAGCAAAAACAATTTTCTAAAAATACCTCGAATTAAAAAGCTTTAAATTTAAATTTAATGTCAAATAATTAATTTAAACATTTATATTTGTGCTGGTCCCTAGGCGAAAATCAATAATAAATAATGATATTTGCTTGGAAATATTTTTGCTGTGTAGACAAAACTCAAGGACCAGGATTAGGTCTCGCAGCTAAATGGCAAATCAAGCATTTGCACAAAATTGAATTACCTACCCAGGCATCCGAGTTTGCAGGCCCATTACGAGTAGTCAAATCACCCAACTCCCTCAACCATATACAAAACCACCCACCCATTGGTTGGTCCGCCCACGTTAAGTATACGCCATGGATTCGGAGCAATTGGCACTTTTGCAATGGCAACCGGGAATGGCAACAGCAATGCTTTTAATGATGATCGATTTGGGTAAACAATGAAATTTCCGCATTCAAATTTTATTGCTGGCAATCAGCGAAGCTTCCTGCTCACAAACGCACACATACACAGAGTCGTCCATATGCCGGATGGGGATATCTATAAACGATGCGCTTTAATATTAATCTATAGCGCAACGCCTGTTTGCTGTTTGTCGGCTAAATTCGCAGTGAAATTGAATGATGCATGTCGTCGTTGAAATTAGCATATAACATGTACATTATCGCATTGAGGCTACAACAACAGGCTTGGCAAACAAGTTGAATGTTTGTGAATAATTATATGTTTATAACGATTAGGCAAATTTAAATTGTGGAAGTGGGACCAGGCCCGCTGTTTAATATCAAACCAGTCATCGAAGTTATTCCTGGCATATGGTCATACTAATCCCCTGTACTGCATTCTTTACACCTTAAATCGAGTCAAGTTTAAATCGTTCTCGTCGTTTTTAAACTTTCATTTTGTTTGTTTTTTATTTGTTTTTATTGTTATGTTATATTAATTTAGTATCCTCCGTATCTTGAAGTTGGTGTAAACGGGCCCTAATAAAGGTAAACAAAGGCGCGACGTTGCCAGACTGGTTGTGTGCAAATTTAGTGGCCACTCTGCGTTGTATTTACTAACAAAATTACCTGCTCTTAGTCGTTCTTGCAAATCAATTAAGCCTTAAATGGCAGTGCAAAAAATAAGTGTGCAATAATTAATCACTGATCGATTGCTAAACGGAGTTAACTGCTAAGTACCGAGAAGAACAGCGAACAGCTGGCACAGACGGAGACAAATTCCAATGCACTTTCTCCCCCGAAGAAAACCCGTCGAGCGGCTTATTTGACATCCATTCCGATATCAATACAGAGAAATAGAGAGAAATAGCGAGAAATAGAGGCCACAGCACCTGTGGAGCTGTGCTGTAGCGACAACCACAACAAGAACAAAAAGTTGATTGCCATCGTCTTGGCCATTTTATTGGGCTTTATAGCCGCAGTCAGTCACATACCGCCCGTTGTCGAGTTTGCCACGATTCTTAAGCGTTTTGCGTTTGCGGAGCACTCCCAAGAATTCATAATTTGCATATTTAGAGCCGGAGATATATGCAAAGATTCCGATTGGGCGTAGCATGTTCAACGAACTGAGTCAACCGCCTTGAAATTCTGCGCTAAAAGTGAGTTTTCATAGATACCAGTCGTACCCCGAATTTCTAATGATTTGAGCTGACTATTTAGCAAAACAGGATGGCTTCGATTGTGGAGAAAGTGCGTCGCGTTTTGGATGCCAAAGATCTGGGCGACATAACGACGGAGCTCTGTGACTTTTCGCTGAAAGAACAGAATGCAACTGCCGAGGCCCAAGGAGTACAGCCTTCATCCGCCTCCGATTTTGTTCCCATTCTTGGACAGACTGTCACCTATATTGTGGCTTGTGTATTAATTAACGAGAATGACGAGCTGCTTATGATTGAGGAAGCCAAACAGAGTTGTGCAGGTAAGAAGGTACACTAAAAAGTCAAAACCACACTAATAAAACCCGGTTACGTTGCACTCTATTGACCAGGCAAGTGGTATTTACCTGCCGGCCGCATGGAGAAGGGAGAATCCATCACGGAAGCAGCCGCCCGGGAAGTTTTCGAGGAGACTGGTCTTAATGCCGAGTTAACTACTCTACTGGCCGTGGAAGCCGCCGGTGGCTCTTGGTTCCGCTTTGTGCTCACTGGTCGAATCACAGGTGGGCGACTTAAAACCCCCGCGGAGGCTGATGCGGAATCAATCCAGGCAAGATGGGTGCGTAGTCCCAAGGAAGTACCTCTTCGGGCCAATGATATACTTAACATTATTGAAATTGGCCGAGCATATCACCAGGGGCAAAAGATTGCAGTTAGTCCTTCGCCATGGCATGGCAAAATACTGCCCACACGGTTTTCACACAAACGGAACTATCTACGAGTTCTAGCTGTAGCCAGAAAGCGAGCCCACAACTCGCTGAACATCCTGGTCAGCGAAAAGAATGCCCACCACTTCCCTACAGTGGAACTGCATCCTAATCGCAGTCTGCACTCTACGCTGCGGAAGTTTATGATTGAAATTTTTGGTGCGGAGCTGCCACAACATCGACCACATGGCTTACTCAGCGTGGAACACTTGCCTTCGGAGCAGCCGAATACGGATGGTATATGCCTTAATCTGCTGGTGGCTTTCCGGCCGCCGCTGGAAGAAATTTCCCTCATCGGCAAATGCATTTGGCAGGAACTGGGAGCACCACTCGACGAAATGTTAGGGCGCATTGTCAGCAGCAAAAACGCCTCCATTCCCCTGAATGTGGTGCGCTAATTGCCTTATAGTTTTAAACTAGAGTAATCTGTCCTAATCTATGGTGCAAGCAATCTATCCGTTATTAGTTGCAATTAAATATACCGACTGTTATGCAATATTGTTTCCATTCTCCGGTGCTGAATAATAGATTGCGTAGGTTAGTCTCGAGCTATCAAATGCTAATCTGTCTAGAAGATATCCCAACTACTAAACAAATCCGCTTCCGTTTCTTGGTGAAAGATCTAATCTAAGGATTACTTGTTTGACTTAGTCTAATATATCTTAATAATGAACAAAGAAAACTTTTACTATTATATAGTACCAATTAAAATATTCATATTTTAATACAAACATAAATTATTTCAATCCACTGTCAGACTGGACTTACTACGAATTCGCACTTGTCTAAGTATAAAGAACTTTATTCGAAAGAAATGGCCATTTTGCCCCAAGTAATAATCAGAAAGCAATTTCAAACACACATTTCAATTTAATTCAATATTTAAATCAGCTGTATAAATTTCTTTAGCCACATACCCATAATGGGTAAACGGTATATATAAAATGCTTCTTGGAATATGTCACAAAACTAGAAACTATTGCAACAGCCGACTTGGTCAATGGGTACAGAGAAAGAAATGCACGAGTTGGGGAAGGGATGATCTAAGTAACTAAGCCGCCAGCAGTGGTTACACCCACAGCTTGTTGAACAGGTCCATGAAGGAGTCGTAGATCATGAAGGTGATGGCTACATCCAGGCACACGCGACCCAAACGAGGCACAGTGCCCTTGTAGAAGGCAGCGGGGCCTTCGTTTTTCATGATCTGCAGTGCACAGTGGGCAGAGTTTTTGTATTTCGATGCCTCCAGGCCCTGCATCCTTGTTTTAACCACATCGAGCGGGGTATTACCGAACACAGAGGCCGCTCCAGCGATAACTCCAAAAGCTCCCACCACCAATTTGGGAACTGGCTTATTAGGATCATTTCCCTTATACATATCCTTTAATGACTCCAATACGAAGAAGCGGATGGCTTGATTAGATCCCTGTTTCAATACGGTCATCGTAAGACCCTTGTAAACTCCCGAGATACCCTCTGTCTTCACAATCTGGGTAACTCCATGAACAAAGCCCTTGAATTTGGGATTGGCGCTGCGCTGGTCATTAATAAATTTCACCTTGATGGTCTCCATTGGGGTAACAGCTACAATGGCCTCGCAGACGCCAGCCCCCAAACCGCAAAGCAACTTTCCAGAGTTGCTCAGTTGTCCTCGAGAGTCCACAGCATTCGACTTCAAGAATTCAAAGGCACCGAATCTGAAAATATATGAGCAATTTTAATTATTTTGGTTAACAGAATAAGTTGACTGATTTATTTTCTTCTCATCTGCAGGTCTCAAGCTCTTTTTTTTAGAAATATTTTGAATTGGAATTTACCTTGCCGCAGACTTGGGAATACTGCCGTAGACCAGCACACTAAGACCGCGATAGAGACCCAGGAATCCGCGCTGTTGCACAGTTTTCTTGACGCAGTCGAAGATGCCATTGTACTTCTTGGCCGCTCCCTTTTCGTCCAGCTGCAGCTGTGTCTTTACGAACTCGGTGGGATAGGTGATGCATATCTCGATGCCGCCAGTAATACCACCGGCGACAATGCCCTTTAGGCCCACCTGTCCACCGGCCGGTGCTGCAGCTCCATGCTCGGACATCCATGGACGCCGGCGGTATGGACTGACCAGGGCCGCGATGATTGAGCGATTCATGCTGACTAAGTGTAAGGTAAGAGTTTAGCTGGAGATGGAAAACGTATACACTGTTGTGAAAAACATAGTCTTCCTTATGAATTATGTTCGAGTGGAAATTATTTACAAACCATTGTTGTTGACGGATCAACAAAAATAGACTAGTTTGATGTGGGTGCCACAATTTTCAAAAACTTCAATGGGATTTACCCAAAATGTGTAAAACCTATGCTGTATTAATATAACAATTGGGAAGATTGATCAGAAAAAGACAAATTTTTGGTTGAGGGGAAAACTTATTCCTTGAATTAATATATGTATATGGTATATTAGTGCGGCTGGTAGAACATACGATTTTTTATGTGTTTTGTTTAGATATTTTCAGTTATATAAGTTCCATTTTTAGATTCGAAAAGACTTGTTATCCATTTTGTTGTTTTGTTGTCCATTTTGAATTTGCCTTTTGCCTTTTTTCAGTTCTGCCTAACTTATGAAATTGTCTAAGTGGAATAACAATAATCACATACAAGGCAGATGTTTTGCTTTTTCAATAAACTTCAATTTATTGGTAATAACAAGTGGTATTATCATTGGCAATTTCCATTTGTTATGAATGCTCTCTTTTCCCTCTACGAACATTCATTTATCGCCCGAAATTTCACCTTGAGGACAAGGTTCAAAACAAAACTGGGAACGAAGAATCGACAAACTAACACAAACACTAACCAAATGTTAGAAAATCTCTATACAGATTACTTAAGATCGGGTGATATAGTCTATGTCTGGCAGTTTGAGTGGGAGCGGTACTATATCAGCAGGCTTGTTTGGTTTGCTCTTTCCACTTGACAAATTATAATGTTTTAGAGCCTCGATGCTGTGGCACACACATGGCTTACTCAGCGGGGAACACTTGCCTTCGGAGCAGCCGAATACGGATGGTGTATGCCTTAATCTGCTGGTGGCTTTCCGGCCGCCGCTGGAAGAAATTTCCCTCATCGGCAAATGCATTTGGCAGGAACTGGGAGCACCACTCGACGAAATGTTAGGGCGCATTGTCAGCAGCAAAAACGCCTCCATTCCCCTGAATGTGGTACGCTAATTGCCTTATAGTTTTAAACTAGAGTAATCTGTCCTAATCTATGGTGCAAGCAATCTATCCGTTATTAGTTGCAATTAAATATATATATATAATATAATAGATTGCGTAGGTTAGTCTCGAGCTATCAAATGCTAATCTGTCTAGAAGATATCCCAACTACTAAACAAATCCGTTTCCGTTTCTTGGTGAAAGATCTAATCTAAGGATTACTTGTTTGACTTAGTCTAATCTATCTTAATAAGGAACAAAGAAAACTGTTACTATTATATAGTACCAATTAAAATATTCATATTTTAATACAAACATAAATTATTTCAATCCACTGTCAGACTGGACTTACTACGAATTCGCACTTGTCTAAGTATAAAGAACTTTATTCGAAAGAAATGGCCATTTTGCCCCAAGTAATAATCAGAAAGCAATTTCAAACACACATTTCAATTTAATTCAATATTAAAAACAAGCTGTATAAATTTCTTTAGCCACATACCCATAATGGGTAAACGGTATATATAAAATGCTTCTTGGAATATGTCACAAAACTAGAAACTATTGCAACAGCCGACTAGGTCAATGGGTACAAAGAAAGAAATGCACGAGTTGGGGAAGGGATGATCTAAGTAACTAAGTTCACACTAAGCCGCCAGCAGTGGTTACACCCACACCTTGTTAAAAAACTCCATGAAGGAGTCGTAGATCATGAAGGTGATGGCTACATCCAGGCACACGCGACCCAAACGAGGCACAGTGCCCTTGTAGAAGGCAGCGGGGCCTTCGTTCTTCATGATCTGCAGTGCACAGTGGGCAGTGTTTTTGTATTTCGATGCCTCCAGGCCCTGCATCCTTGTTTTGACCACATCGAGCGGGGTATTACCGAACACAGAGGCCGCTCCAGCGATAGCTCCAAAAGCTCCCACCACCAATTTGGGAACTGGCTTATTAGGATCATTTCCCTTATACAAATCCTTTAATGACTCCAATACGAAGAAGCGGATGGCTTGATTGGATCCCTGTTTCAATATGGTCGCCGTAAGACCCTTGTAAACTCCCGAGATACCCTCTGTCTTCACAATCTGGGTAACTCCATGAGCAAAGCCCTTGAATTTGGGATTGGCGCTGCGCTGGTCATTAATAAATTTCACCTTGATGGTCTCCATTGGGGTAACAGCTACAATGGCCTCGCAGACGCCAGCCCCCAAACCGCAAAGCAACTTTCCAGAGTTGCTCAGTTGTCCTCGAGAGTCCACAGCATTCGACTTCAAGAATTCAAAGGCACCGAATCTGAAAATATATGAGCAATTTTAATTATTTTGGTTAACAGAATAAGTTGACTGATTTATTTTCTTCTCATCTGCAGCTCTCAAGCTCTTTTTTTTTTGAAATATATTTAAAATTGCAAACTTGATAATTTTGAATTGGAATTTACCTTGCCGCAGACTTGGGAATACTGCCGTAGACCAGCACACTAAGACCGCGATAGAGACCCAGGAATCCGCGCTGTTGCACAGTTTTCTTGACGCAGTCGAAGATGCCATTGTACTTCTTCGCCGCTCCCTTTTCGTCCAGCTGCAGCTGTGTCTTTACGAACTCGGTGGGATAGGTGATGCATATCTCGATGCCACCAGTAATACCACCGGCGACAATGCCCTTTAGGCCCACCTGTCCACCGGCCGGTGCTGCAGCTCCATGCTCGGACATCCATGGACGCCGGCGGTATGGACTGACCAGGGCCGTGATGCTTGAGCGATCCATGCTGACTAAGTGTAAGGTATGAGTTTAGCTGGAGATGGAAAACAGTGTACAGTGTTGTGAAAAACATTGTCTTCCTTCAGAATTCTGTTCGAGTGGAAATTATTTATAAACCATTGTTGTTGACGGATCAACAAAAATAGACTAGTTTGGGTGGGTGCCACAATTTTCAAAAACTTCGATGGGATTTACCCAAAATGTGTAATAATGCTGTATTAATATAACAATTGGGAAGATTGATCAGAAAAAGACAAATTTTTGGTTGAGGGGAAAACTTATTCCTTGAATTAATATATGTATGTATATGGTATATTAGTGCGGATGGTAGAACATACGCATTTTTTGGTGTTTTGTTTTGATATTTTCAGTTATATAAGTTCCATTTTTAGATTCGAAAAGACTTGTTATGATTCCATTTTGAATTTGCCTTTTGAAAAATAATCTATATTTTGAAATATTTATCAAATCAAAGCAAATGTCTAAATGGCAATCGTGAATCGCGTCTCTATGCCAATATTGACCTTAATTTTCGTATCAAATGTTTGCCCAAGTGCAGTTCTGCCTAACTTATTCAATTGTCTAAGTGGAAAAACAATACTCACATATGGTAAAAGGCAGATGTTTTGCTTTTTCAATAAACTTCAATTTATTGGTAATAACAAGTGGTATTATCATTGGCAATTTCCATTAGTTATCAATGCTCTCTTTTCCCTCTACGAATATTCATTTATCGCCCGAAATTTCACCTTGAGGACAAGGTTCAAAACAAAACTGGGAACGAAGAATCGACAAACTAACACAAACACTAACCAAATGTTAGAAAATCTCTATACAGATTACTTAAGATCGGGTGATATAGTCTATGTCTGGCAGTTTGAGTGGGAGCGGTACCATATCAGCAGGCTTCTTTGGTTTGCTCTTTGCACTTGACAAATTATATTGTTTTAGAGCGATTACATAACTTTTGCATGACCATAAATAATAATCGGAAAAAATTTAAGTTCATAATTATTCATAATATGCCGTTGTTAAAGCCACTTTCCGTATCGGACTAGAAATCTGGATAAACATAAACAATGCCCACTGATAAGTCGGCACTGGAAAGTGTCTAACGACTTCCACTAACACACAAGCGGGTGATTAAACCCACTACCACACACACAGACAAAACCCACTATTTTGCGAACGTTGCACTTAATTTGTGCTCATGGAGCATGCCACTTTGCTATTGGTTTTTGTTTTCTCTTACTACTCACATTAGAATGCAAATAAAACCGAAATTATTAAAATTTTGGAATGCCCAGAAGCAGCAAAGAGAAGGCGTCAGAGAGCACGGCGATCGTGGACAGCGGTTGGATCTCAACTGATCGGCGATACAAAAAAAATTCCATTTTCCAATCGACGAGCGAAAGCGAATACAGTGCTCACTCTTAACTGAGTACAGTGATACCCTCAAAAAGTGAACATTAGATTACTTGAATCACTCATAAGACGAACCGAACATATTTGAAAATTGACAACTCTTTAATCGTTCGGATTTTGAGCGTTTACAGATACAGTAAACCATTTACTTTAAATCAGCGCACACCTTTTCTTAGTCCAATGCTGCGGGGGAGAACTGTATTTCCAGTGGTCGACGATTTGTAAACAACAGCTCTCCAGGGAGCGGGATCCACTCTGCCCGTGCTCAGTTACTTACACAGAAAAAAATAAAAATATATTTGTCTAGAACAAATTTAAACTGAAAGTCTGTTGATAAGCGTTCAAAGTGTTAGGAAAAAAGTTATAAAAAATCCTATATTTTATTTTATTTTTTTTTTAATGATAATACTTTATATTCAATAATATGAAATATGAAAAAACGGTTTTAAGATGAAAATCAAGCTTATTTTTTTCCGTGCAGAGAGTGTGTAAGAACGAGCCCCAAAGTAACGGCTATGGCATGATGTGTTTTTTTACTGACACCGCAGTTGAGTTGAGATCTCTCTCTAATCGGAAACCCGTTTGGCTAACAACAACAAACTGGACAGAGCTTTCGGACTGGAAAAGCTCCAGCAAAGAACAATAACAAGAACCTTTAAATTTTCGAGCGCCGCAAAGTAGACCAACTTATTCATCGACGGTTATTACACAATGAGTTCTCACAAACACACACACAGAACACGCATAGTTTACGCACACCCACGCGGCGGTATATATCCAGGTTATCAGACCGTTTTAGTGGTACAATAATCCAATTGATAAAGGTTTTTTCATTTTTAATTTATAACGTCTAATTGA